CAGGCAGATCTCTGTGAGTTTGAGGCCAATCTGGTCTACAAGAGCTAGTTCCAGGACAGGCTCCAAAACCACAGAGAAATCCTGTCTCGAAAAACAAAAAAAAAAAAAAAAAAAAAAAAAGAGCTGAGTCTTCCGAACTGGGGGGCAGCTTGGTAGATACTTCCCTCGAAGGCCTTAGGACTTGAGTTGCATGCCCAGCAGCACCTAAAACCAGGTGTGGTGGTACACCCCTGTAATCTCAGCACTCTGGAGAGTTAGAGGTCCCCACTTGGTCTCTGGGTAGCAGGATAAAGGTTTGTAATTATCTTAGTCAGGGTTTCTATTGCGTCATGACCAAAAAACAAGTTGGGGAGGAAAGGGTTGATTTGATTTTCACACTTCCACATTGTAGTCCATCACTGAAGGAAGTCGGGACCAGAAGTCAAGCTGGGTAGGAACCTGGAGGCAGGAGCTGATGCAGAGGTCATGGAGGAGTGCTGCTTACTGGCTTGCTCTACATGGCTTGGTCAGTCTGTTTCCTTATAGAACCCAGGACCACCAGCCCAGGGACAGAAACACCCATCACGGCCTGGGCCTTCCCCTCTCAATCACTAATTAAGAAAAAAAAAAAGTTTAAGGGGTTAGTGAGAGGACAGGATGGGTAAAGGTGCCTGGTGCCAAGGCTGACGACTTGAGTTCAAGCCTCAGGACCTACACTGTAGAAGGAACAAACCAGTTTCTGCAAGCTGTCCTCCGACCTCCACACATGCGCAGTAGCACGTTAGCGCCCACACCGATACTTTTAAAAAAGGCTACATCCAGGCTGGAGAGATGGCTCAGCGCTTAAGAGTGCTTGCTGCTCTTTCAGAGGTCCTGAGGACCCCATTTCTGGGGTCACAACCGGCTGTAGCTCCCGTTCTAGAGGATCCGACACCCTCTGCTGGACAACACGGGCGCACACACTCGCACATTTTTTTTTTTTTTTAAGGAATAAAAGAAATTTAAGTTATCCCATACATTCCCAGCAGGGAGAAACTACTGCGTGGTCAACTCGAGGGCTCAGCCCTGCTAGCTTCTTCTCAAAATCGGGGAGAAATTGTCCAGTCGGTTGTCAGTTTTCAGCAGGGCGCTCTTGGGTTCCAGCATGGGACTCCGATTTCCTGCTGCTGGGGACCTGCTGCTGGCCTGGCTCCCAGGTACCCGGAGAGTCAACTCTCCTGGTACAGCAGCTGAGAACCTCAGGGTCTGAGGGTGAAAAAGCAAAGGAGGTGACCAATGGGGGGGGGAATGTCACCCCCCACACACACCTCCACTTAAGCTTGAGTCTCACTTCTTTATCCCTCTTAGCTTTATCACAGATCAAGGTCCCTAAGGTCCACTCAGGTTTTACCTAGGTTTGTGACAAAGGCCCTGACCCAAACTAGGGAAGACCAGGGGAATCCCCTTTATCATCTGGCATGCAAATAAGACACCAAATAGACTAAACCAGAGAGAATGGGTGACACGGGAGCTGGGCTGCCGAGCCAAGGAAGTGGGTTAGGGATTCAAGATTTAATCAGAGACTGGCGACTACTTGCCTAGCTTGTGCTGGAGTTTGATCCTCAGCACATTAAAGGGAAAACGAAACAGCAGCAAACAAGACTCCAGCAGTGCACTCGAGAATGGCCCTGGAAGTTTCATACATGGCAAAAGGCATGGAACAGACTTGAACTCAAGTTCAAATCATTGTTGAACTTGACAAGTCATTTTTTTTTTTAATCAGCCAAATGGGGATAATTATTGCCCAGTATCATTGGGACCAGAGTTTGGTTTTTTTGCTTGTGTGTGTGTGTGTAAGTTAGGGCGCTCTCCAAACAGTTTTGGGGACTTTGCCATAGTGCTGCCGCAGCAGAAAGCCACAGCTGCCGTCTCCTAGTTCCCGGGTTCTGGACTGAGTTCGCCTGCTCGTCCTCCCAACTGTGCCCTCCCAGAGCACACTGAGTGACTCTGCTCCTTTCTTCACTCGAATCCTAGACTCCAGGAAGGGGCCGGAGAGATGACTCAACAGTAAAGAGCACTTGGTGCTCTTGCAAAGGACCTGAGTCCAATCCCCAGCACCTACAGCCAGCTGTAACTCCAGTTCTAGGGCCTTCACAGGAACCAGGCTGTACACGGTGCACATATGCACACGTAGTTGAAACCCTTGTGCGGGTGCGTGCACACACACATACACACTTTTCCTTCTTTTTCTTTTTTGTTTTTCTAGTTTTTCTAGACAGGGTTTCTCTGTATGTAGCCCTGGCTATCCCGGAACTAGTTCTGTAGACCAGGCTGGCCTTGAACTCACAGAGATCTGCCTGCCTCTGCTGCGGAGTGCTGGGATTAAAGATGAGTGCTGGGATTAAAGGCATGCACCATCACTGCCAAGCACACACACACATTTTTTAAATTTATTTTTTCAACTATTTATTCAAAACTAATTCACTTGAAATGAAGCACCTGAGGCCCAGAGGGTCCTTGACCGCTCTTTCTGAATCTGAGTAGTCCTGCACTTTCCTAAAACCAATGGCAGCATCCACCCCACTCTCTTAGTTCTCTTGTCCTGTCTGATCATTTGCATGTCTTTGTTTTCAGAGTCCCAGGTAGCCCAGGCTAGCCTCAAACTCACTGTATCTCTGGGGTTGCCTTTGATCCCCCTTCTCCTGCTTCTACTTCCCAGGTTCTCGCTTTTTAAACACTTTTACCATTTATATAATAGTTGCTAGTGTTGGGTATTAATAATATACAGGGGGTTTTGTTGATTTGAGACTGTAGTTCAGGTTGTCTTGGAACTCACTATGTAGACCAGGCTAGCCTCTACGTTGTGCTGGAATTAAAGGTGTGCTTCACCATTCCTGGCTAACAGTCTTTAAAACAAACAGTGATGGCACACGACTTTGATCCTGGTACTCAGGAAGCAGAGGCAGGCATGTTATCTTTCTTTTTTTTTCTTAATGATTTATTTTTATTTTATGTACATTGATGTTTTGCCTGCATGTATATCTGCGTGAGGGTGTCAGACCCCCTGGAACTGGGGCTACAGATGGTTGTGAGCTGCCATGTAGGTGCTGAGAGTTGAACCCAGGTCCTCTAGAAGAGCAGCCAGGGCTCTTAACTGCTGAGTCATTTCTCCAGTCCCTTGTTGAAGCTTTTTAAAAATAAGTTATTAGCCAGCAGTTCCAGCACCCAGGAGGCTGAGACAGGAGGATCCTGAATTCAAACCCCCAAAATAAGGATTATCACCGGGGTGGTAGTGGCTGATGCCTTTAATTCCAACACTCAGGTCATCACTGTGAGTTCAAGGCAAGCCTGTTCTGCAGAGGGAGTTCTAGGAGAGTCAGAAAAAAGGAAAGAAAAGGAAAGGAGAGGAGAGGAGAGGAGGATTAACACTGCATTTGATCCTCCAACAGCTATTATTATTATTATTTGTTGTTGTTGTTGTTGTTGTTAAAAGACTCAGTGATTCAGCCTCAGGCCGAGGTCCGAGCTGTCAGGTGATGAAAGCAATATTCCCTGACCAGGACACATGGTTCCAAGCCCAGGGAACACCCTGTAGTTGGCCTCTTGGTGCCCCTCATCTCCTGCATGTGCTTTTGAGAACTCAGAATTCATGTACCAGATCTTGGAACTTCGAGGCTAATTTCCTCCACCCCCAGGTTTGAAAGAAGGTAGCTCCCTTCCCCACCCCCAAGCCCTCCTTCTTCCCTCCCCTTACCCCTCCCTATTTCCTCTGCCTCCTGGTTCAAAAGCAGCGGAACTCAAAGGGGCCTGCAGCTAGCCCTGAGCTCAACTCTCACAGCTGCTACCAGAGCCCGGAAGGTCCAGGATGAACGGCCTCCTCTTCCTCGCCACCATCAGTCTGCTGGTTGCGGTTCAGGTAAGGACAGTCCTGAGAGCCCTTACCTCCATCACCAGATCCCCACTGATGGACTGGGCTGGGGTCAGGGAAGGAATGTAAGTTCCTGGGGGAGCCAGCCTTCTACCACAGTGACTGAGATAGATGGTTACCAACAGGAAACCTGGGATAGAGGAGGGCCTGTGTGCCTGGGCCTCCACTCCTCTTAGGGCCCCCAGGGAAGCCCATGGTGTCATGTGAGGAAACCTCACAGGCTGTCAGGTACATGGAGGCACTCAGAGGGTTTTGTGCAATTCTGGATCATGAGGTATGGAAGAGGATACTCTGCCGAGGAGAGCCGCAAGCAACAGTCCTTTTGGTAGGGGTGAGGAGATGTCTAACAGACCTGCCATAGGCGGCAGGGGGTTGTCACCCGCCTCTGCTTTAGGGAAGCCTGGGTGTGTGGGAATGCAGAGGCAGAAGTCTCCCAATCAGTCTCTAAATCAACCCTGGGAGGCGAGGCAGCCTTTGTGGCACCCATGTGCCCAGAGGGACCTGATTAACACAGGAATGAAGTCATCAAGTTCTTGATCAAGAACATCTCGACCAAGCATCTCGGGCATTTTCTCTGTCACCAAGGCTAGTTTGATTCCCATCAGGAGCGGCTTCAGTGGCCGCTCAATCAAGCATCCAGGACAACCTGTCACATCTGTTTATCTCCACCCCACGCTCTGCCAGGGACCTTTTCATTCAGCCCTGTCTAATGTCATACTCCCAGCCGTGGTGGACTCTTCCTGACAAGAGACAAAATTCCAAAGTGGGGTACCATAGACCCAGAAGTGCCCCCATGTTTTTGGGAGGGGAAACCATTCCTCAGGCTCAGAAGGGCAACGGGGGGGGGGGGTGCTTCTGCTTCCCTCTGTGCTGGAAGATCTGGTGGCCTGAAAAGTGACAGGAAATGTCTGTGCGGTGGGAGAATGACAGGGACAGAGATGGCTTTATCGCCGCCTGTGACGGGACAATAAGCCAAACAAACCTCCAACAGGGCCTATGGCAGAAGATGCAGAGGCCTAGCGTTGGGGAAGGGCACAAAGGGGGCAGGTTCCTAACATGAGATTCAAATCCTCCTGAGCACGGCAATTCTCTTGCAGATACAAATGGGAGTCTTGGGAGATAATATGACCAATGTGAATCCTAACGTGGCCACTCCTCCTCGTCCTGCTCCTGTGACGACCAAGGAGGGAGCCCCAAAAACTTCTGTGGCCAAAAAAAACCCTCAGAAACCCCCAAAGGGTGGGGCCTCGTCACTCATCGATGTGGGTTCCCGCAGTTTCTTCTTCTTCGCCAACACCTTAATGTGCCTCCTCTACCTCGGCTGAGGTGATGATGTTGCTTCTCCAGCCCTGTGCTCCTCAAACTGCCGCCACCATCAGTAGCAAGAGACACCCCAACCCAGTCTTTGGAAAGTGTTAACACCAGAGAGCCCAGGAAATGAAAACTGACAGCCAATGGCCAGAATGGGGCGGTGCTGGTGGAAGGGGGCAAGTGACACCCAGCTGGGGCTCAATAAAGTTCTACTTCTGCTTAGCGGGGGCCTCCCATGTGCTCACTGGTTACTACTGACCCCAGGAGGCACGTGTGCAGCAACATTGGCTTTCCGTGGCCATGTGCAGGGAAGGTGGCAGCAAGGCACTCCCCCCAGGTTCCCTAACTTAGGGTCACCTTGCAGAGACAAGGACAGGAAACTCTCTGCCACTGTTAGTTGTGTTTGCTTCACTTGGGCCTGGTACTTGGGAGTGACAGACCCAGTTCTATCCCCCGCCCCACATAACACCTCTCAGGCCGTCTCCCACCCCCATGACCCAGGTGTCTTCATAATGACAGATGTGGGGACATCATAGACCACTTGGCTCCGTTTCTCTCAAACCCCCAGCAGGAGCGCTGTAGACCCAGAAGCACCCCCGTGTCTGGGAGGGCTCAAGGAAGGGCGTCTCATGAGTTGTTTATCACGGGGCTAGTGGACAAGGAGGCAGGTGTTGCCACGCACACCCACAGCCAGGGAAGGCAGGAAGGACAATCAGGCTCCTCTAAATGCTCCTCCTGGGCTTGGAGCTGCAAAGTGACAGGGAGCCCAGACAGGTCCCCAAGACCCTTGCCTTTGTGTCTTCGCAGGAACCTATGCCCAGAGGACTGGAAAGTGACTACAGCTCCGGGCCTCTGACAGCCTGACCTGTCCCCTAGCTAGGGACCCAGCCCCTTCTGACAGCCTGACCTGTCCCCTAGCTAGGGACCCAGCCCCATCTGACAGCCTGACCTGTCCCCTAGCTAGGGACCCAGCCCCATCTGACAGCCTGACCTGTCCCCTAGCTAGGGACCCAGCCCCATCTGACAGCCTGACCTGTCCCCAAACTAGGGACCCAGCCCCATCTGACAGCCTGACCTGTCCCCAAACTAGGGACCCAGCCCCTTCTGGTTTTTGGACCAAAGTCAAGCCTTCAGGCTTTGAGACTGGAGCTGGAAGAAGAGGGAGGAGCCCAGGACAAGGCTTCTTGGGTGAAGACCCCCTCATCTCTCTTGCCATGCCCACTGTGGGCTCACACCCTGAACCCTGAAGTTCTCACCCATGGACACATCTGTATTCCTAGAATACTTTCCTCTGCTTCCTCTATTTGGCCTGGCTAACTCCTTCTCTCCCGTGTGTGTGTCTACTAGGGGTGCTTTTTCAAGTGGCACAGACCTCCACTTCCATTCCGTAACACCCCTCAGAAACCTGTACTGGAAAGCAACACAGAGAAACCCTGTCGAAAAAGAAAGAAAGGAAGGAAGGACCGGAGAGAGAGAGAGAGAGAGAGAGAGAGAGAGAGAGAGAGAGAGAGAGAGAGAGAGAGAGAGAGAGAGAGAGAGAGAGAGAGAGAGAGAAAGCTAGCTGCACTGGGATGGGATACAGGGCTTTGGTTAATGGTTGTGCCCCGCCCCCACAGTCAGGGAGGCCGACTTGGCTGGCACACTAGTTAGTCTGGTTCTGGAGCTCCCTCTGGTGGTAAGGGAAGGCTGTACAAAGAGAGAAGCCAACCTGGAGGGGGCCAGAAGGGTAATGGGGACCATCTCCCTCCCAAACCAAGGTGCAAAGACATGCCAACACCCGGCCGCGTGATAGAAAACAGCTGATGTTACAGCAAAAGATCTATAAAAAACATTTCATCCCAGCAAAAGCTTCCGGCAGGAAACGGGGTGAAACTGGTTCAAAGTACATAGACAGTCCAGATCTGGGAAGGCCTGTCCTTGGTTGGTTCCCACAGCACCACGTGGTCCCGGTCATAACCTCGGCCGCCTGAGGGAGAGATTCAGAGGTGGTCAGGGTGCTGGAGACGGCACTGTCTCCAGTCCCCTTGGGTGCCCCTCCCCCCCCAGTCTATGTTACCCTTCACGTCGAGGATCTGGCCTTCAAACATCTGGCTGCAGATGTGACCCAATTCACTGATGCTCCAAGTTTGGCGTGGTAGGCGGCTCTCGGCCCAAAGTACTACTTTGGAGCCTGGGCTTGGAGGTCCAATCACCTGTAGGCTCATGGTGGGGGCCACCTGAGGCCCCAGAAGATCATTAGACATTGCACTCCCCACAGGAAATCTCCCAAGCTCAAGCTTCAGACACTGGATTTTTGTTGCTTGTTTTGTCTTTGAGACAGTGTCTCACTATGTAGCCTTGGCTGGCCTGGAGCTTACAGACATCCAACTGCTTCTGTCTCCTGAGTGTGGGATTGAAGGCGTGTGCCACCATACCCAGCTCATAAGCTGGTTTTGAATGCTGGCTATTACAACTGTAGCCCTAGGCAAGTCTCTTTATCCTTTTTAGATTTATTTATTTATTTTATGAGGGTTTTTCCTGAATGTAAATCTGTGTACCACATATATGCCTGGTGCCCACAGAGGTCAGGAGAGGGCATCAGATCCTCTGGAAATGGAGCTAGGGATGGCTATGAGGCATCATTTTTGTGCTGGGACCTGAACCCAGGTCCTCTGCAAAAACAAGTGCTTTTAGCTGCCGTGTCATTTCTCCAGCCCCAAATACTGGTTTTTGGAAGGAACATGAGAAAAAGAAAAGAGGCCGCATTCTCTACTTCCTCCAGGCATCTTGGATCTAACTTGGCGGGGACTTCCTACAGTAGTGTGGCAAACCCGGAGCTCAGCAGAGCCGGCTCCGGAGTCTTTACCTGGTTCTTCAGCAGTCCCTCTTCATAGTACCAGATGCAGCTGCCCCCAGCTCGGGGCTCAGAGACCACCACACGGCCTGCTTTCATGTCCTCCACGCGATCAGGCACTGCTAGGAACCCCCCTAGCGCCGCATTCCAGAGGCGGAAGTAGGCTCGGCGCTGCAGACAAGGAAAGGCTGAGAGTCTGCAGCCAGAGGTGCCCACCACCCTCAACCCTGGGCCCTCTAGAAGACCCAAACCCTCCCTGCCTCCAAACGTTTCCTAATCCTGCTTCTAAATCACACCTTCTTTATATAACCATCCTGAGGGCACATGCATAGCACGCACACGTGCCCAGTTCTGTGACCATAGATACCTACACGTGTGTCTATCCTGGCCGATACACCCACAGTCCACAAGGTGGCACAGTTTACAGAAAGCACAAACAATTCCACAGGTCCATGCAGTCATCACATTCCCACATCATAATTGACACAAAGATCCCCCCAGTCTGTTCAGTACTAAGAACTTATGCTTGCTACAGGTACAGCTAATCGTAATAATACAAATGCACGCATGCACACACACATACACACATGCAAGCGCTTGCGCGCATACACACAAAAAAATGCGTGCATGCATACATGCTGAAGCTAGAGAGAAATGCAGTGACACCAGAGAGATCAGAACAGGCTTGGCCAGCGGCGGCAGGGCCTTTGTTAGAGGGGACAGTCATGGAAACAACGAGGAAAGCCCTAGGTGTCATCTGTGGAGTGCTTCCCACTAGCATATCACCCAAGGGTTCTGCAGTCATGGGCCCTCAACCAAGTCAGGACTGTTCCCGTTCCCTCAGTTTATAGATGAGGAAACGGCCGAGCATGGTGGTGCACGCCTGTAATCCCAGCACTCGGGAGGCAGAGGCCCGCGGGTCTCTGTGAGTTTGGGGCTAGCCTGGCCTACATAGAGAGTTGCAGGGCAGCAAGAATTATATAGACATAATGAGTCCCTGCCTTAATATATAGGTGTATACACACACACACACACACACACACACACACACACACGGAAACCAAGATCCCTGAGGGGCAGCGCTTGCCCAAGATTGCAAATAAACTCCTTGCCCACTTCCTTGGGCCTTTATTTCCCCCACTGCCATGAAAGTCTATGAACAGAGAGACTACCCACATGCCCTCGTACATGGATGTATATATTCAATTCACAAGACTATTGGGCAGAGGTGTGAGCAGGCACTCATACACATGCCCACGTCCATACGCACAAAAACATACAAATCGGGGCTGGAGAGATGGCTCAGAGGTTAAGAGCATTGCCTGCTCTTCCAAAGGTCCTGAGTTCAATTCCCAACAACCACATGGTGGCTCACAACCATCTGTAATGGGGTCTGGTGCCCTCTTCTGGCCTGCAGGCATACACACAGACAGAATATTGTATTCATAATAAATAAATAAATACAAATCACCTCCAGAGCACTTAGATGCATGACTTCAAATGATGTAAGCACAAAAATACTCTTAGATGGGCACATGTATATGTGTGCAGGTTAGTGCCCTAGAACTGTATGTATGCAGAAATGAAGCCAACTTCTAGACAAGCAGGTACAGACATGCACCTCACGTGCAAGCTTCATGCTTCCCAAAGCCACGTGTGCCGACTGCTGCTATGTGGAGCGTGAGGTGATTCTCAGCTTTGGGAGAATAAGTCTGTTGTATACACTGTATAGTCTTTTAGGACAAACAAAGTTGATTTAGGGGAGACTATTGGGATGACGATACAGGAAGAAGCTAAGGACAAACTGTGGCAGAAGGACACAAACATCAAGCTTTGAAACACACAGATGTGAGACAGGCACACCCTGAGGTGCTCACGCTGACTGCTACCTACCTGTTTGATAGGGTAGAGGGAGCCCACCCTCTGGGTGCCGCTGTAGGTCAGCCAGTTGGTGATCTCGCAGCTACTTACTAGCCACTGTCGTCCCCGGAAGTCACTGTGCTCACACACCACCCAGCTGCACCCGGCAGATGCCAGAGACACAGAGGGATGCACACAGACAGACAGACAGACAGAGAGGACAAGGCACAGGTGTTAGAAGAACCTCAGCGTCCTCTTCCCTCACACAGGATGAGGGCCCTCTGGGGGAGGAGGCTAATGGGCAGATTTGGGGTTTTCAGGACCCAGCATCCATCTGAGACCCTCAGTCCACACTGCTCCCTCCTTCCTGGCCTGGAGTGGGGTCCCCAGCCGCCCACCACTCACCCAGTCCAGCTAGGAGCCCCGCCCCCACACTCACACGCCACCCTTGACGCGCACAGACAGCACGTGGTTGTTGAAGCCCTGGGCCTGTAGGCTTCGCACCTCCCCGGTCAACTCGATCTCCTTGCCCTCGAAGCACTCCAGGCCGAACAGGGACAGGGAAGGCTCTGAAAAGTGCTGGGGCCGAAGAAAGAGAAGAGGTCATGACCCGAGCCCAGGGCAGCTGTCTTACAGTCCCAACACTTGTGCCCAGGCCTGCAGGCCTCCGAGTTTCTGAGGACATTTACAATCAGCAAGGTCCCCAGAGTTTCAGTCCCAGCCTGGGACAGACTGGCACCAGCTCAGCTCAAAATCCTCTCTGAAACATTTCTTGCATGGGTTATCTTAGTTGTGTTCTTGAACAGGGACCTACTAAATTGTTCAGACTAGACCCGAACTCACCGTGCAGCACAGGCCTTGGCTTCCAGAGTGCTGGGACTGCAGGTGTGTGCTGCTGTGCCTGGCTCAGACAGCTGTCACTGCTAAGAACTAACGGCCAGGCTGGAAACCTGGGGGCTCATTCGGCATCATCTCCGGTTGACGTCATCCCAATGATGAGAACTAATAATCACATCTATGAATAACCGCCCACCTTTAACTGTGACTCATTCCAGGCCAGGTCCTCAATAGAGCACTTTGTCCAATCTCATCCTAGCTCCTTACCGCCCCTAAGGGACAGATGCTATCATGACCCCTGTTTAGCAGAGACGGCCCTGAGGCTGAAGAAGGTAAGACAGATGCCTTGAGGCTCCAGATCTGCGCTCCTGCCCAGGTCTAAGTTAACTGTCCCCAGAGCCCAGTATATTGGTGGGAAGGGGCTCAAGCTGTAGAGCCAGGCAGCCTGCGGGAACAGCTGCTGTCTGTCCTAGCTGTGCAACCTGAAGCAAATCAGAGTGCCTCTGGGACTTAATTTCCACATCGAGTAACGACAATGAGCCTCACAAAGCTTTGGAAAGGGCCACCCAGCGAATGTCAGCACCACCCAGTCAGGCTCCTGGTCTCCACAGACACTGCCACCATCATAGTGTAGACGTGGCTTCTGTCAGGCTCCTCCCAAGAACAGCAGTCAGCGCTATTATGGGTCACTGAGGCAGCCTCCCCCTGCCTTGCCCCTCCTACCTCTCCTCTGCAGAGCCATCTTCCCAGATGACCCTGATAGCCTTCTCTACACGGGGAAACACCTGGGCAAAAGCTGGCCCTGCCTCTAACTCTGAGTGTCAGTCTCTCCCACCCCAGCACTGCCTCTGATCTGGATCCACACTCCACACTGCCACCTTTATAGGTCCGGGGTCTAATTAAGTTTGGGCCTCTGGACTAGTTCAGCAAACGATCGATAAACGCCTGGTCAGCTGAGCCGCTTTAGGAGCCTCAGAATTAAGAAGGAGCCTGGAAGGGGGTATGTGAGACAGAGCTCTGCCTCTCTGGCTACTCGGGACAGAATGGGGAACTCACCAAGGGAACCTTCCGGAGAGAGCCCAGGACCGTGGAGGCCAGGCAGCCCATGGCTGTGAGAGTGGGGAACTCTCCCTCTGACACAATGTGCTGGTCGGCCTCAAAGTTCTTCTCCTCAAACAGGACCCAGCTGGAAGGGAACAGATACAGGAAGGTGACACTAGAGACCAGGTCACCTTACACCTGCCAGGAACCCTGAGAGTCCACAGGGCGTGCGGACTTGACGGTGTTCCTCTAATCCAGGAGGGGTCCAGGGTGGACAGGCACTGCAGCAGCAGGGACTGAGGTAGGGGAAAAGGAAGAAAGAAAGAAAATAAAGCTACAGGAGCCGGGCATAGCGCCGCACTAAGGAAAGCAGAAGCAGGTCGGTCTCTGCGTGTGAAGCCAGTCTGGCCTACATAGCGAGTTCTGAGCCAGCCAAGCTACATGGTGAAGTCTTGTCTCAACAGAAACAGTCGGGCGGTGGTGGCACACGCCTTTAATTCCGAGCACTCAGGAGGCAGAGGCAGGTGGGTCTCTGTGAGTTTGAGGCCAGCCTGGTCTACAAAGTGAGTTCCAGGACAGCCAGGGCTGATACACAGAGAAACCATCTTGAAAAACCAACCAACCAACCAAACAAACAAACAAACAAAAAAGCCAAAAACCTACTAAGTTCCTAGCCAACTGTGGTGTTTGTGTGTGTTCTCTAAAGTGAGGCCAGGCTGTAAGACACCTCTTATCTCCATGTCTTCAGGTAGATAAATTCATTTAGTATATAAACCTTGAGTGGTGAAGCCGAGGTTTGTCTTCTGACCCCGGGGTCTTGGCTATCAGGCCCAAACCAGTTGGCAAGCCTCCTTTCCCAAGCCTTCTTCCTCCTGCTTTCTTCTGCATACTGAACTGTATCTCATCAGGTAAAACTATTCAAGTTATTTGCATTAACTAATTACTTTATTTACTGGGATAGGGTCTCACTATGTAGCTCTGGCTGTCCTATACCTCACTTTGTCGATCAGGCTGGCCTCGAACTCAGTGACTCTGCCTCCTCAAGCGCTGGGATTAAAGGTATGCACTACCATGCCTGCTTATGAGCATGAATTTATAATCTTGAAAAGACTCTAGGAAAAAAACAACAACAATGTAGAATTAGGACTTGGGTATGTAGCTCACTGGTAGGATGCAGGCCTAGTGTATATGAGGCCCTGGGATCAAACGTTACCCTTGCAAACAAACACATGAAGAGTTCCTAAAAATTAAAGTATTAATCTAACTATATACCAGGTTTATAATATAATCACAGACAAAAATGATTATTTCAGGGGCCAAAGAGATGGCTCAGAGGTTGAAAGCACTGGCTGCTCTTGCAGAGGGTCTGGGTTTGGTTGTCAGCACCCACAGGGTGGCTCACAACATCCTGTAACGCCAGTTCCAGGGCATCTGACGCCCTTTTCTCGTCCCACAGACACTGCATGCACAGGGTACACATACATTAGCATACAGGCAGGCACAATATTCAAACACATACAATAAAAATAGATGTTCTTTTTCGGAGATGAAGACCTAACCTGGGGCCTTGCACTTCCTATGCAAGCGCTCTACCACTGGCTAAATCTCCAAACCCCAAAATAAATCTTTTTTAATAAGATTATTTTACACTTCTTTCAGATTTTCTTTTTCCCACGGATTCCAGGGTGGCCTCAAACTCACAACATGCAAAGGTGCTCCTGAGCTCTTGCTTCCACTCTCCAAGTGCTGGGGTGAATGTCGTGTGACCAAGCCCAGCTCTGTCTGCTGGTTTTTGATTTTGAGCCCAGGCTGGCTTCACAGGCATGACCCTGCTACCTCAGCTCAGCCTCGAAGTCCCGGGGACTAAAGGGACACCCTACTATATAGGCCTCAAATTTCTTTAAAAGGTAGCTTTTTGACAAAAAGGGTTCCTTGTGGTTATTTTTGTCCTCAATTCTTCTTACACCTACACAGTTTGGAACAGTCAAAAACCTACCTTTGAAAGAAATCTGAAGCCCATATAGTAGAACCGCAAGGAACCCCCATAGCGCTCAGTGGCTCCCTCTGGAGCAATAAGAACATTATAATTTTGAAGCACTTAGCATGCAGATTATAATACATAATTGGAGGTGTGGCCTTGTTGGAGAAAGTGTGTCACTGGGGAGTGGGCTTTGAGGTTTCAAAAGCTCAAACTAGGCCTAGTGGATCACGGTCTCTTCCTGCTGCCTGCAGATCCAGATGCAGAACTCTGGACTACCTCTCCTACACCATGTCTGCCTGTGTGCCCCCATGCTTCCTGCCATGATAATACTAAACCTCTGAACTGTAAGCCAGCCCCAATTAAATGTTTCCTTTATAAGATTTGCTACGGTCATAGTGTCTCTTCACAGCAATAGAAACCCTAATTATGACAGCCACCATGTATATGCCTGGTGACCTCAGAGGTCAGAAGAGGGCATTGGGTCCCCTAGAAATGGAGTCACAGACGTGCTAAGAACAGAACCCAGGTTCTCTACAATAGCAACAAGTGCTCTTAACCACTTGAGCCATCTTTCCAGCCTCCATTTTTATCATTTTTAATTATGTGTGTATGTGTGTGGAAAGGAGACAGCAGAATGAGCATGTTAGTGTAGGTGCCTGAGGAGGCCAGAGGCCTCCAGTCTCCTGGAACTAGAGTTACAGATGGTTGTGAGCCACCAGACAAGGGTACTGGGAATCAAACTTGGGTCCTCTGCAAATACAGCAAGTGCTCTTAACCAACGAGCCATCTCTCCAGCCCTGAAAGTTTCTGAAATTTTGGAAAGGAGTCAGAATGTCTTCAAGTGTTTGTGTGAATATGTGTGTGTGTGTGTGTGTGTGTGTGTGTGTGTGTGTGTGTGTGTGTGTAAGAGACAGTGTGTGACCCACTGTACTCAGGTGAAGGTCAGAGGACTTTCAGAGTTCGATTCTCTCCTTCCACTCTAGGATGGATCCTGGGGTTGAACTTAGGCAATCACACTTGCACGGCCATGGCGTTGACTCACTGACCTATCTCTCCAGCCTCAGCTTTCTTTAAGTACAGTTATAAACGGAACACATTTCTGCTGTTGTTTAAGACAGGGTCTCATGCAGCTCAGGCTGTCCTTGAACCCCCGATGTAACTGAACTAAGGTTAGCTTTAAACTGACCTTCCTGCTTCTACCTCACAAATATTGAGATTATAAGCATGTACCCTTTGTTCAGTTGGGATTCTCTCCAGAGTTATATTTTGTATTAAAATGTTATTCTATTTGTTTTAAAGTTGAATGACTCAGGACATAACAGTTAATCTGAAGGAAGAAAATCACCTGAAAGGTGTTATCCTTTGACCCCCCACCCCTTACTCACCCACCCCCTACCCTAACCCCAGCCTCTCCCAGCACTCCACGCTCCACCCCCTCCTCCTGCTCACCTGCCACCATGGACCCGGCATGACTGGGGATGGAAAGAAGCGGGCAGAGAGGCCTGGTCATCCTCAAAGGAAATGTGGTCGCCCAGGAAGTTGGGGCCTGAGAAAAGCTGAATCTGGAGACAGAGAGGTGAAGAGGTCAGAGTGAAGGGGTAAGGGGTGGGGCAGGAGGAAGGGCCAAGGGAAGAGAACTTTGCCCTCTTGTGAAGATCCCACCAGATCCCGCGCAGCTGCCTCCTTACCTTAGAGACAAAATGAAGATCGCTCTCTCCAACCTGCAGGGAGAGATCAACGCTGTGACTGAAGGATGAGGCCAACCTCAAGCCTCGGCCCCTGAGCTTCAAAACCGTTGCCGCGGTCCAGCTGTCCAGCAGCTACAAGCTCCGCCTCTTCCAGATGCCCGGCCACCAAGAGCTCAGGCCCTCCTCGCCCCGCTCCCTCTGGGTGACACAGCTTGTCCCTCCCACCACCTAGGTCAGTTCAGCAGGTCTAAGCCAACCCCATCTCCACCCTCAATACCCCTTCTACCCTCCTATTCTCTTCCCTCCTTCCCCCCCCCCACCCGCCCCGGCCACGCCCGTCCTCTGTCCAGCCTTGCCAAGCAGTCGGGGCTTGCCAGTCTGGCCACGCCCACCGTCTTGGCCCCGCCTCCGAGGCGACGCCCACCGCTCAGGCACACACCTGCACCACGGGCTGAAGGGAGCCAAGGGCGCTGTTACCGGAGCCCCAGTCGTCGCAGTTGCGGTACACACCCTTCTCCAGGATGTACTGTTCGCCGGAGAAGCCCACCTGCTCGTAGGCCACCCACCTGCAGGAAGGGCGTGGCTTGGGTCGGCGAGGGCGGGGTCGGCACTGCGCCTGGGCCCGCCCTGCGCCTGGGGCGGGGATTACTCACACGCCGCTGAGCACGTGGATGGCTTGCGTGCTGGGTCCGTGCTGCGCTAGCTCCACGTCTGGCAAAGCGGAACTCACCTCCACGTAGTGGCCCTGGAAGTCCGTGTCCTCAAAGAGCACCACAGCCGGGTCTCCAAAGTCCTGGGCCCCCAGAGACAGTCAGGTTTCTCCCGTACACTGATGCTATCCCGTGAGAGTGCACAGACCCCAAGGAAGCAGCCCACCCCGGGGATTAGGTGGGAGGTGCCGGAGTATTCTGGGGAAGAGCCGCCAGAGGAAGAGAGACTAGCTCTAGAGTGGGTGAGGGGGGCACCATGCCAGGAAGAACAGGCAGAGGGGTGCATATTCTTCCCTTAGATTGTGCTGGGGAAGTTGGGGTGTTGCCAGACAGAAAGATAGCCAATTGCTCCTGCTCACCGTCCGGATGACCCGCAGGGAAGTCAGGAACTCATCATAGCCTCCCCAATGTGACCAGTCAGCATATTCGCCCTCTTCCAGCAGGTACTGGTGGCCCCGGAAGCCCTCCTTCTCATAGCCTACCCAGCTGGGGGAAGGGGAAAGATGAGCCAAGACACCCATGAATAAGATAATACACGCTACACCAGAGAGCCTAAGTCACTCTCCACCCTCAAGGGGAAAGCCTGTAGGGACAGGGCAGATAGGAAAAATCTCTTAAGTCCTCACCAGCCCCCAAGGATCCGCAGGGACCCCACAGAGGTCAGCTGGGGGCTCTGGCTATCCTCTGGCTGCCGAAGGTTGTAGATGTCTCTGCTCACTTCCCAGCTCTGCCCCTGAAAATCTGGGGCCTCATATACCACAGCCTGGAAGAAAGGATGTCAGGGTGACAGATGTCATCTGGACCAGACCCAGAGAGACAGGCTTTCTAGAAATGGCTCTACACACCAGCCTGAAGTCCCCCACCCTCCCTTGGAGCACTGTGGCCTATCTGCTCTGACCTCTGACCTGATTCACACACCAAAGCCAGTGCCCAGAGAGTCCATCAGGCCTGCCCTTCTAGGCCGAGCTTCTGCCCCCCACAGGGTCCTTATCTCCTGTCCAGGCTTCAGTGACCATCTCTCAGATACACCAAATACCCTTTGACCCTGGGTGTTCCCTTACCTTGGGCTCCCCTGGCTTCTCCACGCTTGGGCAACCCTGCAAAGGAGACATGGCTGAAATGCTAGTCCAGAGGTGTGTACAGACAGATGAGGCTGGAGACTTCGGGTTTTCTCAATCCGAAGACTCCTAAAAATTGCAGGCCCGTATCTTCCCGCATCCCACACCTTGGGCTAATCCCCCTTCTCCTCTAGTCCAGGTCCCAATAGGAGCTCTGGGGCACCAAGTCTCCAGGGAATTGATCTATGGTTACTCCCCATCTCCTGCCCGCAGAATTGCGGCCACCCCACAGGGGAATATAAACAGAGTGGCTTGTGGGTGTCCCCCACTCCTTACCAGTTTCATGGGCTTTAGTGAACCTACACTGGGGCCTGATGTACTCCAGGCCTCCAAGGTAGGGTACTCTCCAGGCTCTAGGATATAGGGAGTGTCTTCAAAGAATGGTTTGGGGTATAGCAACCACCTGGGGGAGGGGGACAGAAGAGAAGCCACTGAACTTGGGACACAGACAAGGAATGGTAGGGTAGGTTTAGAGGGGAGGAAGAGCTTTCGAGGGGGGCTTGCACAGCTATGTTAGAGAAGACATCCCAATCCTCTCTCCATTCGAGAACAGCCTGCCCTTAGTACCCCTTCCTGTGCCTGCCCTCTCCAATTACAGGAGGAAGTTAGAGTTACACACGTACCTGCTTCAAACCCCTACTCTAATCAGCCTCCCAGGAAAGCCTAGCTACCCACAGGCCTGCAATCTTCCTCCCTTGGTGCCTCCTGTCTCTCCGTCACTGTTTACACTGTACACACTGGCCAGGCTGGATTTCTGTAGTCTGATCCAGGGGATGGGACCCAGGATCTCATGCTTGCTCAAAGTGTACACTCTACTACGGGATAACTTCTAGTCCCAGGCCAAGCTTGGGGTTTTGTTTGTTTGTTTGTCTTTCAAGGTGGCCTTGAAATTCCCTCAATCCTCCTGCCTCCACTTCCCAAGTGCTGGGATTACACACACACACACACACACACACACACACACACACACTTTTCCGGCTCACTTTTCACATGACCTTCCTTCTTCCAGGCTCCTCCTCCAGTTATACAGAGGACAGATACTTAAGCTTTGTCACACCAGGGTTACAGAGCATACAGAGACCATACCACTCTGAATGTGCCAGACCACGTCAACAGAACATACAAATTCCTGTCCTTTTGTGGTTTAGCTTCTCAGCTAGCTCGTCCCAACTGAGGCACCACTTCCTCCAGGAAGGCTTCTTTGACTACACCCACGTCCACTTCTTCAGCTGGTTGACTTTAGCATGTCCCTGCAACCCTGTGCCCCCCCCATTCCAGAACACTCTAGGTGCTATTGTTGGCTATTTACATGCCTGTCCCCACCAGAAGAGTAAGGGTTTTTGTTATGTTTTTCTGTTTTTTCTGTTCAAGACAGTCTCACGGTCTGTAAACAGGCTGGCCTAAAACTCATAGAGATCCACCTGTTTCTGCCTACCAAGTGCTGGGATTAAAGGCGTGCGCCAAAGAACGCAGGCCTCAGACTGAATGCCTTTGAGAAGTGAACTGTCTATCCTGTCTGCTCTGTGTCACCAGCTCTTGGTACAGTGAATGTCCAGGGATCCCAGAATAGCCAGACTCACAGTCCTGCAGAGACAGTGGCAGATGCCACCTGTAGGGGTCTCTCTAGACCTTGAGAGTCTTTCAAGTCCCCTGTCAGCATCACTTGGTTGCCCTTGAGGCCCTCCTCAGAGAACAGGCTGATCCCCGGGGTGCGGTAGTCCTGCGGAGGGAGAAGGGGAGATGTTCGAGTGCAAACTTCAGGCTTCTCTGACCCACCTGTGTCCCAGGGCCTCCAGTCTGGTGGGGCTCCCGGGGGCTCGACAAAAGCCCAGCTGGTCGTGTTCTTAGAACCCAGAGGGAGTGTCCTCCACAAGGCCAGCCAGCCTCTAACCCTGGACCAAAGTTCTCACTGGTACCTTGTGGACTTCTGGAACCCAAGACCAAAGTCCCCAGAACCTGCAGAGTGTCAAGGCTGTCCCCTCTCTAGGTGGCTGACTTCCCACTTGCTGGAGGGAGCAAGATGGACAGGCACTTCCTGATTCTGCTTTGATGTACAGTTCTGACCTCTGTCCAGACTGGCTTTTTGTTACTGTTCACGTGGGTGCTGTGTCTAGAATCCACACCCTTGCAAGGGCTAGGCAAGGTCTCCGCCACACCCCATGCTTGCTCTAGGGTGGCTTTTTTTCTTTTTCTCAAGGTTTCATATAGTCCAGGCTAGCCTCAAATTCACAATGTAGCCAACGTTGATCTTAAACTTTTTATTTTTAAATTAAATTTATTTGTTTGGGGTTTTTTTTGGGGGGGTGAGGGAACACAAGCATACCACAACATGTGTTTGTAGGTCAAAGGACAACTTGTTGGAATTGGTTCTCTCCTTTACCAGGTGGGTCCAGGAGATCAAACTCAGATTGTCAGTTCCAGTGACAAAGTCACTGAGTCATCTCAGCAGCCCCAACCTTCAGCTTCTTATTCCCCTGCCTCGACCTTCTGGACACCGGGGTTACAGGCGTGAGGCACTACTATGTCTGTTTTTACGTGGTGGTGGGGAATCCAAACCAGGATTCACGTAGCTTGGCAAGCACTCTACCAAACGAGCCTGCTCGCCCACTCCATAGCCAGCCTGGTCTTGGCTGTCTCACGCTGCATGGCGGCAGGGTTCTGTGCATTGTCTTTCTCCCTCCCTGGGATCGCTTTTACTTGCTCACTCATTCGTCAGATGATAAACCATCTGGATTGTGCTAAGGCCGTATTCTACCTAAATAGGATCATTTAGTCCCTCAGGAGAAGTTCTCCACATAGAAACATACAGGAAGGTGAAGCTCGGCAAAGTTAAGCAGACTTGCCCAGGATCACACAGCCTGTAAGCAATGGAGCCGAGAGCAGAGAAGAGTCATTTTGGTTTAGTGTTGCAACCCAGCACCTCCCACATGCCTGGCACACAGTAGGTGCCAACTCAGGGCTGAATGATTCAGATGGTCCCAGCACTGTGTAACCTCAGAGCTCTTGTTTCTCTCCTGTGTCTCATGCCCTCCTACACAGGATGAATTCACTGTGAGTGTCTCAGCACGAACTGCCCACCAACATGTTTGTATCCGTAGAGCCCTTGACAACAGCCACCCCTTTCTTCCAGCTCTCAACCTGTACTGGGTCCTCAGTTCCAGGACCTTATCACCCTTACCAGAGAGAGAACTCTGGGGTCAAGGGCTCATCTCACCAAAAACACTACTAGCTGGGTGCACAGTGCATGCCTGGAATGCCAGCATCCGGGAGGTGAAGGCAGAGGACCAGGATTTCAAGACTAGTCTCGACGACGTGATGACTGTGAGGCTAGCCTAGGCTGACATCAGACCATGTGTTTAAAAGAAGAAAAATGGGGGCTGGAGAGATGGCTCATTGGTTAAGAGCATTGCCTGCTCTTCCAAAGGTCCTGAGTTCAATTCCCAGCAACCACATGGTGGCTCACAACCATCTGTAATGAGGTCTGGTGCCCTCTTCTGGCCTGCAGGCATACACACAGACAGAACATTGTATACGTAATAAATAAATAAATATTAAAAAAAAATAAAAGAAGAAAAATGTCGCCAGGCATGGTGGCTTATGCCCATAAGCCTCTAAGCATAGCACTGGGGAGGCTGAGGCAGAAGGTTTGTTGTAAGTAAATTCTAGCTAAGTCTGGGCTCAGTGTGAGATCCTATCTCATACAAAACAAAACAAAAACCCACAAACAAACCACTAAGGGTCTGATGGGTTTTATTCCTAGCATTGCTCTGCATCTCTCTAGGAGTCAATATCTGTGTGTGTGTGTGTGTGTGTGTGTGTGTGTGTGTGTGTGTGTGTGGTTTTTTGAGACGGGGTTTCTCTGTAGCTTTGAAGCCTGTCCTGGAACTAGCTCTTGTAGACCAGGCTGGCCTCGAACTCCCAGAGATCTGCCTGCCTCTGCCTCTCCAGTGCTGAGATTAAAGGCGTGTGCCACCACCACTCGTCCGGATATAATTTTGTTAAATTCAGTATCAGTAATTTATAAAGTCGTGCTATGAAAACAAACACAGGGCCTGGCACCTAGCCAGGATCCGAGAAATGTCTGTGGGGTTGGCAGGATGGCTCAGCATGTGACGTGCCTCTTTCTGAGCCTGAAGACCGGAGTTCACACTCCGGGACCCACATGAGGATCTTCTCAAGCTGCCCTTTGATTCATCCATGCTGGGGCACGTGGGTGAACACACACACACACACACACACACACAAATTAATAAAACTTTTAATTAAAAACACCACAGAGGGGAATGTCTGTGAACGAGTAAAGAAATAGGCTCATGGCATGTTGCCCAGAGCTGTGGGTGACTCTGACCCATTTTGGCCACTCTGACCTAATTTTGATCTAGCACCAGCTCATACCTCTTCAGCTTGCTTACCCAGGGGCACAGCCCCTACCTGCCCATCAACCTACACCTCCCCAAAACTTTATTTCTTTCTCTCTCAGTGCCTCCAAGGAACGCAGAGATACTCCAAAATGACCCCCTTCTGACCTCTTCCCCAGGTACCTGACCACTCACCCGCACAGCCCTCCTCAGGGAGCCGATGCCTTGGGTACTCCAAGTGGATGCCAGGGTGCTAATGTCCACATCCCCTTCAGGCAGAACCACCTTCTGGCCTTGGAACTCCGGCTGTTCGTATAGTATCCAACTGTGGACCCAGAGACCCCAGGGTCACAGGGCAGGAGGTTGCACCCAGAGTCTCTGAGTAGCCGGTGGGGCTCCTACAGGCCTCACCACCTTCCTCACCCCCAGGTTCACAGCCAGGTCCCCCCTCCCTGGCCACTCCCCACTTACCAGCCTCGCACCACCCTCACTGAGGCAACAGGGGTCCAGCCTGAGGTATCAGCAGTGTCTCCCCAGATTTCCCTGCTTCTGCCCTGGCAGCCAGGCTCTGAGAAGAGCATCACCTGGGAAAACACAGCAGGTGTCCTCAGGCCCTGTCACCAGGTACTGCCCCCTGCCAGCCTCCATTTGCCCCCATGTCCCTACCTTCCCAGGCCTGGTGTTCAGCTTGCCCTGAGTCTTCAGTGCTGGACTCTAGAACAGAGAGGGTGTCAGAGATCTTATGGGGTCACCACATCCCCCACACTGCTCTTCCGAGAATCCCATGTCCAGACCCCACAGGATACAGCCCACAGAGATCACCACCATTGCTTCCAGCTCCCACGGCCTCGCCACCCTGCCATAGGAGCTGGGAGACATTCCTTCTCCAGCTTCTGGGCAGTGAGAACCAGCAAGCCTTTCGTGTTGTTTTGTTTTTCAAGACACGGTTTCTCTGTGAAACAGTCCTGGAACTCACTCTGTAGACCAGGCTGGCCTTGAACTCACAGAGATCTGCCTGACTCTGTCAGGCCTTTTGGAATCTATATACTTCCACTATGCTATCACGGACACTGAGGCCCCAAATGATATGCATTGCAGAGTTCAACTAAGCTCAGACGCAAGCCTCCTGCCTCCTGGGACCCGGCCTCCCAACACCACTCTCTCCAACCACAAAAGTGGAAGCCAGGTACCTCCCAAGCCCCTGCAAGGTCTCACTCACCCACCCTTCCATGGGTTGGGAAGGTGCTGGCTTCTCTGGTGGTGGCCTTCCGCTGCAGAGCAGGGGTAACTGTCCAGGCACCTTCCTGACCCCTGGAGCTCCATGGGGTGGCAGAGCAGATAATTTCGAACCTAGTGGTTCCAGGGTAGGGATGTCCTTGTTGGCTGGCACCAGACTGCCAAAGAGAAGGCTGCCTCCAAGGCGGGAAGTAGGCCGGTTGCTGGGCTGAGGTCCGGGACCTTGATCTGCTGTATGCCTCTTCATCATCTCCAGAGGAGAGCAGGAGACCTTAGCAGGCTTGGGTGGGTCGGCATCCAGGGCGGGGCTGGGCCCTGCTTTCTCCTGCCTGCGCTGGAGTTTCTCATCATCACTCAGGTAAGGGTTCTCCAGCTCCTCCTCCTCTTCCAGGGCAGGTTCCTCCTGGGGACTGGGTCTTGGAATGGATGGGCTCAGCTGATCCTCCTCAATGGCAGGCAGTGTGGCATACATGGCCAGGTAGGAGGAGCGGGGAGCTCGGGGCAGTCGGTGAGTTCGGAGGATCTCAGGGGGCTCCATGCTCCGCAAGGTATCCAGGAAAATCTCCAGGTCAGCAGTCAGGGCTGCTTCATCCTCCTCCCTAGATGGTTCTGCGGTCACACTCCCCTCAGTGGAGCCTGGGGTGAACTGGGACTCCATGCTGGCCTTTGTTCCCACCAGCTTTGAGGCAGGAGAGCCTTCTAGACTGGAGGACCCTTTGGCCTCTGAAGAGGATGGAGCCAGGGGCCTGGCAGGGCTCTGGACACCTTCATTTGGGGTAGGTGATGAGGAAGAGTTCCCTTGAGAATCCTGGACAATTTCACCCTGTTTGGGGGTCTGGGGAGTCGCATTCCCCTCAGTGGAGCCTGGGGTGAACTGGGACTCCATGCTGGCCTTTGTTCCCACCAGCTTTGAGGCAGGAGAGCCTTCTAGACTGGAGGACCCTTTGGCCTCTGAAGAGGATGGAGCCAGGGGCCTGGCAGGGCTCTGGACACCTTCATTTGGGGTAGGTGATGAGGAAGAGTTCCCTTGAGAATCCTGGACAATTTCACCCTGTTTGGGGGTCTGGGGAGTCGTATTCCCCTCAGTGGAGCCTGGGGTGAACTGGGACTCCATGCTGGCCTTTGTTCCCACCAGCTTTGAGGCAGGAGAGCCTTCTAGACTGAGGGACACTTTGGTCTCTGAAGAGGATGGAGCCAGGGGCCTGGCAGGGCTCTGGACACCTTCATTTGGGGTAGGTGATGAGGAAGAGTTCCCTTGAGAATCCTGGACAATTTCACTCTGTTTGGGGGTCTGGGGAGTTGGGGCAGTGGGGCCTTCAGCTGTCTCTTTCCAAGGAAGGGGATGGGAAGGGCTATCTAAAGCGTCCTGGCCATCCTCCTTCTCGATGGAAGCACCTTCTTCTACACCCTGGACAACCTTGGCTGAACTGGAGGATGAGGCAGTGGAAGCAGCAGGGGCCTTTGCAACCTCTTTGGGGGTGTGGGAGTGGGCAGAAACACTAGGGCCCGGAAATACCTCTTTCTGAGTAAGAACAGAAACAGGCACATTTTCAGGGTCCTGAACAAACTTATTCTTTGGTGAAGCCGGAGCAGAAAGGCCTTGGGGACTAGGGACAGCTTTCCTCCTTACAGAGGATGGGCTAGGGGGCTGCTCAGGAACTGTAACCCCGCCCTTCACCACAGGCAGAACAGGGTCCGTGGGGAGACCTGTAAGCTTCTCTTCCACAGGGGCCGGGACATGAGGCATGGGCTGGGCTTTGAGGTGTGTAGGTACCACTGGTTGCTCTGGAGGATGCACCAGGGAGGAGGCACGGGTCTGGGGCTTGGGAGAAGAGGGTGTTGGCAGGTGGTTATGAGAAGTCTGGTTGGGGAGCAGGACAGGACTGGAGGCTCCCTGCAGCCTTGAAGATTCCCCAGCTCTGGCATCTGAGACGCTGCCTTGGTCTTGGGCTGGGTAGGCTACAGGAATATCTAGGTTCTGAGTGCGATGATCGACCACGGGGATGCCTCCTGGGGTCAGGCTTGGGCTGTTCTTCAGTTCGGTTGTGCTAGTCTCAAGTGGCTGTCCCAGGGTTGTTCCCACTGTGCCACCGAGGGCTGAGCCCCTTGAGGTAAGTCCGGTGAGACTTGGGATCCGGCTGGCAGGAGGGCTGCGCTCAGCCGGTACGAGGTTGCTTAGCAGTTCCAGGGCCTGGCTGCGGCTGGGTGCGTCCTCAGCTCTCGGGTTCACCACCACTGCCCGGATGGTTCGGGTCATGTTGCGGCCCCTCGGCAGGGTCTCACCTGACATCGAGGGCCCCACATTCACAGAGCTGCTCACTCGGCGGTCCACTTGCCCTCCTACCACCGTAGTGGTGGTGGTGGTCCTCACTGTGCGAGTCACGCGCCATTCCTCACGGTTCCTGGAACCTCCGCTCGTGACACCCACACTGGGATGGGGACTCGGCTCACGTGGCCCGGGCAAGGGCACCAATAGTTCAGTCCTAGCCATGGATCCCACGCCTGGTGGTTCAGTCCTGGGAGCCTGGGGGCCACCATCACCCCAATCCACAGCCTCCTGTATCCTCACCACTGGCCTTTTCTCCTTGGGGGGTGGAATATATTTCTTGGAAAAGATGGGCCCATGGCTTTGAAAATTCGTGGATCCAGGCTCCTCCCCAGGACCCTGGCAATTTATAGTCTCCTCTTCTTTCTTAACAAAGCCATTGACTTCTCTCCGGAAGCTATGCTCCAACAGGCTCCCCTGAGGGGTTTCCATCCGAGCACCCGACACCAGGGATACTTTGTGAAATCGGTGTCTGGTCTCTTCCTGGACAGCAGGCCGTTGGCGCCATGTCAGTGTGGCACTTACCACTCGGGCCTCAGCGCCAGCTGGGGTCCCAACTCTCTCTTCCATGTTGGGCCCCAGCAAAACCTGAGCTGTCCCTGTCACACTGTGGCCTGGCTCCCTGCGGATAATAAAAAGGGAGAAAGGTGAGTACAGGGAGGGATCCCCCAAATCACAAAGCAACTGCCAGGCCCAGACTGGGCTGAGTACGCTTAGGAAAGTCACGTGACCTTTTGCCCATCTCACCACTTCCAAGTGATGCCCCCTGTTCAGGTCCCCAAAAGGCAAAGCTCAGGCCTGAGCCCAGAGGTGAGAAAGGGGATGAATTATTCTGTAGACCAGGCTGGCCTGGAACTCACAGAGATCCGCCTGCCTCTGCCTCCCGAGTGCTGGGATTAAAGGTGTGCGCCACCACATCCGGCCCTTTTTATGTTGAGATAGTATCTTGTGTGTAACTCTGACTGTCCTGGTAGTAGTTATGTAGCCCGTGTTGGCCTCCAGCTCATATTAACCCTACTCAGCTTCCCAAGCCAAGCGTGGGGAATTATATGCTTGCACTGTCATGGCTGACTGGGGTTCACAGTGAGGTTTGTTTGTTTGTTTGAGACAGGGCCTCAGGTAAACCAGCCTGACTTTGAACTTTCTTTGCCACCAAAGAACATCTTGAACTTAACTTTTTCCTAAGTTACATTCAGTGTGTGAGTGTGCATGTGTATGCAAGCGTGTGTGTGCGCGAGCGTGCGTGTGCATGTGTTCGTGTGTGTGCGCGCGCGTGCGTGTGTGTGTGTGTGTGTGTGTG